GGTGTAAGAAAGTTCGACTTCGAAAACCTTCGCTGAAAAATGGATAAAGTAAAAAATGGTACGCCGCGCGCGAATTATAGCGCGCTGCCCACCGAGCATCTCTCCGCGTTCGACGTTTCTCTGATACGACGACCAGTGAGAGAATTAAATACATACGCGCGCAAATCAAATTTATTTACGTCACTGCGGCCCCGCGGCAGGCACCTCATCGTTCAAATTAAACGAAAATGAATTACGCGCTAAAAAGCGCTACGAGGGCTACGGACGCCCAGCGTAAACAGCAATCTCAGGTGGCGTGCACGGTGAATGGCAAAAAATGATAATGCGAATCTAGGAAGAAAATTACCACGTCAACCTACAGCTTTTTCAAAGCGTGGCACTTGAGCGTCCGCCGCGTTCGGGGCGTCGCAAAAAGATCACCGGCGAACACGGTGTAGGCACTTTTACACCCGGCGATCAATTCGCGTAATCATTAAATTTCATCAGTCAGCTCGGGCTTGTATTTTAATCGTGCCGCGCGCAATTTAACACGAATCTCGCGTATCCCCAGCCAGCAGGTTCATTTAAATACATTTGACGCGGCCGTCCAATGAAGAAGGAGGGAGCCTTCGATCGCACGTGGAGAAGATCGGAGCCGATAATTTTCTTAGATGTGGGCTCACGTCGCCGGCCGTGCAAGGATTCGAAACAGGCCCGCCCTTATCGGCCGTGGGACCGAGGGAGGGTGGAAACGAGGGGAAGCGAAGGGATGATAATGCGAGTCCGCAGGCGGGAGGTCTTCTGGCGAGAGAGGATGGGGAGTGTCACTCAGGAGCACGACGTGTAAGGGAATGGTCACCGTCCCGGGGGGTGAATTGAGATGTACAGGCAATTTATGCAGCGCGCGAGCGGCACTCCCGCCCGGAAGTCGGCGAGCGGCCGCTTGACCATAAACCGCTTGCAAAACATCGCCGAGCTTTCTTCTCGGGGAGGAAGAAAAAAAAGGGACAAAATGAGAAGTCGAATGCGGTCAGCCGAATTTTTCCAGCCGGACCGCCAGCAGCTCGCCATTGTCAGTTTTGCGACTTGATCGAGACTTTCGTAACGTCGCCCCCCCCCCCCCGAATTGCAGCTCATATACGCGACAACGCGAGTAATGCGATTGCGTTAAACGATATGGAAGTAGACATTGTTTGACGAGGTGAGCTCGATAAACTTTTATAACGCAGTCCCACGGTGGTTCGTAGACAGCTTTAAATCATTTCAAGCAAGAGCAAACGTGTTATACATAGAGGAAAGTCCTCTATTGTGAGATAGGCTTCTAATATGAGATAGCGGGGGTTTCTGTTAAATTAACAGGCATCGTCTGTTGATTCCAACATGAATTCATTGCCCTTGGAGCGAAATCTGTCTAGTGAAAAATTAATTCTTAAATTGTGTAATCGTTGCAAAAGAAGATCTGCGATTGAATTTGGGTATTGAAAACCTGCTATCTCATATTAGAAACCTATCGCATACACGGAGAGAATTTTCTCTTAAAATTTATCCTGAAAATCACAGTATTCGCGGGACGATCTGGCACTTTGGAGAACTTTGATTTTCGCGAATTTCGGGACACCCGGTACAAACGTGTTTTCGCGTTGTTTAGACGCGTTGTCAGGTAATCAAATAGTTATCGTAATAGTCAAGTAATTCAATACGAAAAAAGAAAAAACAGGCAAACGTGAACGGCTTGTAACGTAAAACGGGGGGGAAAAAAAACAATTCATATCGCAGTGGATATGGAAAAATATGAAACGCGGCTTATCTCGATACGGAAATACTGATACGCCCGCATTAGGGCGGGGTATCAATGAAAATTTATTTACCCTGAAAGCGACATTACCGCGGCAGGATGTCCACGTGTATCACGTGTCTTCTTGCCTCGCAATTGCGAGCGGCGGAAATGACGGAAAGCAAGCTTCTACGGCCGGGGACAGGACAAAAAGCAGGACGGGACGAATTCGTCCGGGGATGAATTAAGGATCCTACCCCTAAGTATGCCTCTGCTTTTCTTTTCGTTCGCCATCTCGCCCTCCGTCCCCACCTCCCTCTCTCGCCCTCTCTTTCTACGGCCATCAACCCTTATCGTGGTAGCGTCAATCACTCTCTCCATACACGGTGAAACTTATCGTTCGATTAATCGGCCTGACAATGCGCCTGTCGATTCGAGTTACCCCCGGATTCGCGCGCGTGCGGTCAGTCCCCGAAAATGCAGCGCTCGTCCGACAACGATTTACGGCCGGAAAAGTTCTATGGTTCCCAATTATACGGAGGATCCTCTCACGTGAAATTGTTAGCGAGCGAGTGCGTAAACTATTGGAGCTACGCATTGTTTAAAACACGGAGCGTTGAAAGAAACCTTCGCCGCCGAATTGATTCCCGACTGAGGGAAGAATTGTAAAATCTAAATGAACGCGTGATACCACTGGATACCCCCACACGTTGTTTCACTCGCTCGCATTATCGTGCGTACGTCGCGCCGTTTATAAAATTCCCCGACGAATCTCTCGCCGAGCGTTCACGATTTATCCGCGTACTTTTTTCCGTATAATAAAATGGGGAACGAAGCGCTATCTGAAAATGTATATCTACGAAAATGGTTACACTCCATTCTCCATACACGCGTGTGGAGAAAAGTATAAAATGGCTGCAATAGTAAAAGTTACGATCGAACGTGGCAACGAATGTCATATGTTCAACTTGTCATATAAATCTACGCGCAAGTAGAACAAGTGTTGTCGGACTCGGTGTTTGTTTGCAGTTTCGATGTGTAGGCAGCCTGTAAGTTCGGCGCCAAAATGTCTGGACCATAACGTTTCCATTGTACGGGCCATCGATGCTCGTGCTACTCCGAATGCACGTATCGCGCATGAAATTTCGAATATTCCGAATCTCGCGGACGAAGAATCCCCTCCGCCCCGCGTCGCCTCTGGCCGCTTAATCGCGTAATGAAATTTTCAGCTGTCATCCAGATGGATCGTCACGCGTTACTTCGAAGCTCAACAAAAACGGGGGTTCTTTTCCGAGTTTCGAGCTTGATGTACTCGGGTAAGAATCGCGCGAGCGGATCCGCAGGAGAAAATCCCAGGAGGGGAAGCAGCTTCGTCGCGGGCTGGAGTGGATTTTAATTTCGGACGTGGCGCGGTAAGACGAGGTAGAGACGTGGCACGCTTTAAACCTCCCGTCGTGCTCGGGGCATTATGTTGCGGAATTATCGAAGACGTACCGAACGAGAGACGGGCTCAGCAATAAACGAGGCCTGATCCCCCCGGTCCGTGGCTACAAACACGACAACTGCGACCGTCGAGTTTGGACCGGTGGACAGATGCGCAGATTGCATGAACCGCAGAATGGAGATTAAAGATAATGCGGGGAGATACGAGCGAATTGGTCAACGGAGACCATCGACCTTTTAACGCCATTTGCAACGGGCCATTTGCCCATATTCTTATTAGCAACCGGAGCGGCGCTCTCGGTGACGTTATGAAAAGACATCTCCTCGTGCAGTCCTAAGCCAACGGCACACGATACTATTTTTTCTACTGAATTGCTTACGAGAACCCATAGGGATGCAGAGTTTTAGATCAGGTGACCTAAGGCTAAATCCTGATTGGCTCTCGTAAGCAATCCAGTAGGAAAACTGGTGTCGTGTGCCGTTGGCTTTATTCATTAATGCCTGAGAACCTGCATTTTTATCCTCATTTTTTTAATCTATACAAATCACTGAGTTTCAGGCTGTATGTGTGTAGAGGAAAGTCCTTTATTATGAGATGGGTTTTTAATATGAGACAGCAGGTTTTCAGCGCCCAAATTCAATCACTAGTCTTTTTTTCGCAACGATTACACAATTGAACAATGAATTTTCCACTAAGCGGATTTCGCTCCGAGGACAATAAATTCATGATGGAATCAACTGGCGATGCCTATTAATTTAACAGAAACCCCCGCTATCCCATATTAAGATCCTATCTCATAATAAGGGACTTTACTACTACACGGAAAAGAGAATGATGTTGTATCAACAAGATCAGTGTAGCTGAAATAAAATTGTTGAAACAACATCAGTATTAATAAATGAAAAAACATCAGATTGTTATCTTAATAATCTGGATATTTAGTTCAGTGCATAAAAATTGAGTGAATTATTTATGTTTGTGGCAGCTCGTGACGTTAACGTTTAATTCAAGCAACTTCATTTCGTTCAACTCAATAGCATTTTTTTCCCGTGCACGGACTTCTACACGGAGAGGATTTTCCTTTAAAATTTGTCCTGAAAATCGCGCGATTGTGGGACAACGTGACATTTTTGAAGAATTTTATGTGAGTTTTTTGAAATTCTACCATTTTACTTTATTTTTATTCAACGTTTCCAGCGTGACCGTCATGCCTTTTCTGTTACGTGATTTAAAATATCGACGGTCGAATTCACGTACTATTATTACATATCGAATCTCTTACGCGTAAAATATTACGTGACTGACTTGGATGGAATCGTTCGCATTCGCACGTATTCGCGCGTGTCCGCAAATTGCTGCTCACGGAGAGAAACGCATCCTCGTCCTCTCCCCCGCTTTCCCCCCCCCCCCCTCGCCGATCCCGAAATACCTATTCAAATTTTACGGGTCATATTTGTCGCAATTAAGTGTTATGTTTTCGGGCTTATGGCCCAGAAATATTCCATATTGAGCGCGGGGACGAGCCCGTCCTGGTATAAAGATAAATTCGGGGGCCTGCGAGGGAGGGAGGGAGGGGGGGAGGGACGAGGGTTACACGAATGAGACGAACGGCGAAGAAGAAGAGTGGAGTTTATGGCAGTTGCGCGGAGGGGGTGCAGCCGGGCACTTTCGTCTGACTCACGCCGAAGATGCGAGAAGAAGAGGGATGTCGCGGGACGGGGCTCACTTTTACGAGCTTCTCCGGACGAGAATGCGAGCCGTGAACGCGATTTGCGCACCGGAAGCAACCACTTCGTCACTTACCGCTGCCTCGTCGTGGTTCCTTATACCGTTGCCGCTCTTCCTCTCCCCCAGGCCGTGCGCGCGCGATCCGAAAATCCACGTTCGTTCGTTCTCGTTTCTCGTCAATCACGCGTATCTGGAAATTGTCAAAGGTAACGAGATTAAGTTTCTGTACAGTCTCTCGAGACGCTGCCTCGAGTCCAGGGCGATACGATGAAATAGGCTAAGTCTGATCTCTCTTATTTATAAAAAAATAACAAATAGTTTATAAAAATACATCAATTAAAGCGTTCCATGTTCATTTAACATAATATAAGAAACCGAGGGGGGAAACCGCTGACCAAAATCTTGTACACCAATTCCCACTAATGCCCAGTGGGCATTACTTTATCTCATTATCTTATTTTATCTTATTTACCTTGTTTTACCTTATTTGATCTTATTTTATCATAATATATCTTTATAATGCCCCAGCAAGGCCTAATGCCCAAACTAATGCCCAAAAAATGCCTAGTAATGCCCAGTAACGCCGCAAATCTGTACACCACAATGCCCTCAGCGGTTTCCCCCACGTAAGAAACTTAATTATGTAAGACTGGAAAGTAATGTACGTTAGTGTATATACTTTTCGAAATTGTGGTTCGAATTTTCTTTGCTTAAAAAAGAATTAACATGCATGCAACGCACGATAAAAGTCCCGTCAGATATAAAAGATTCGCAATGCAGTTCTCCCATCAATCGATTGCCTACATCCTGCTCTTTCGCCTTCGAGTCTTCATTAAAAAAAAAAAACCCTAGCTCGCAAAACGAAGCCTCGGTAACCCTATCCACGCGACACGAGCAATATGGAACGTGTTCGGCACGTGTCATCGCGAAGCCGAGAGAGGAAAAGAAGTAAAAGTTCCGGGAACGGTTGCCGCGGTGTGGCGGAAGAATTCTCGACGATTCTTTTTCTTCGAAAGACCGCGGGAGGAGGGAGGGGCGACGGTGAGGAAGGAGGCTGGCGCCTCGAAGATTTTCGCAAATTTTGGGCGCGTCGCGGGCGAAAAGATGAAGAAAGAGGGCTCGCCGTTGGGCGAAGACACGAGGACGCGAGATGCCGATAGAGAGACGAATAGGAAACGCAGAGAGATGGAGCGACACGGGGTTAAGAGAGAGATAGATGGAGAGAAAGGAGAGGGAGAGAGAGAGAGAGAAAGTCAGAAAGGGGGTGAGTGCTGGCGGCGTTATGGCGGGCGCCGAGGGTGGCGCCGCGACGCTTTGGCGCCTTCAGCGCCGAGACGCTCCACTGATGCTGGGCTGCATGTACCCACTCACACATCCACGTGCACCCTCTCGTTCCGACTTACCCTCCCCCTCCCGCGTCTCCTACCCTTCCTACAGCGTTATCCTCCCCCTCCCCCCGGCCTGCACACGTAATACACGTACGCGCGCAATGAGAGTTCGAGATTCTATTTCACACACGCGTACACACAGGCCACCCCTGTCTCTCTCTCTCTCGCTCTCTCTCTCGTTACCGACGCTACCCCTAACCGCCGTGCGTATACGGACATTCTACGCGGAAGGGGGTGAATAGGTAGACGGCGTAGCTAGAGCGCGGAGAGGGATGATGTTTAGGTGCGCATCAGAAGCGGAACTGGAATCCGTGCTCGAGGGGATTGCGGGGAGGGCTGCGAGGTCACTCGTCTCCGGCGACTCCGATTCGAGGGTGTGGCACGCCGTCAAGTGGGCCCCGAATCCGTCTATGTGGGCCGTATTTGCCCGATGGAATTTATCACGTCCCCGCAGAGGCGGGCAAGATGGATCGTTGTTGACATTTTAAGCGCCTTGAACAGCGCTTTCAGTCGCTCTGCGTCTTTAATTAAAAGGTCCCGTATGAAGATAAATCGGCGCGCGATCTTTTACACTTGTTTAGAGATCCTCCGGTGACATCGATTTAAAAAATAATACAGTCGCGTCCCCTTAAAGAGAGATGGCGCGTTAAGAGGAGTCTCCGAGAGCGAAGCGTATATGAAATATCTGTACGCTGATTCACTGATTGATTAACGATAAGTCCTCCCGATGAATAAATTGCCTCGATGCTCATTCCGCTAAATTTGCTCCGCGCCTCGCAACACGCCGCCGTTTAATTTTTCGATAACGCGCTTGACCTTCGTCGGAATAAATCGTTTTTCCAAGTTGAAGCGCAAATTCCGCCGAGCGTAATCCTCTTACGGGTCGCCAGTGATAACTAGCCGAATATTAATTTCGATCGGTTCAACTTGGCCAAATAATTAGTTGGGTTGAATAAAATTAACATTCGCAACGTCCAATTCCAATGTAAACGATCTTAAGCCCAGGGTCGAATAACTCGTTTCGCGCGACGGACAAAACTGCGAAACAGCCAACGACCTGTCGATAACCGGCGACGCAGCGTCCCGCGACCGACGCCCCGCGCGCGGTAGGCAGTGCGCCCTGTAATTTCGCAGCGGCGGAATCGCCGCGGCGATAATGCCGCTCGATTGCGGCCGCATGCCGGGATTGAAGCCCGATCTACAATGTGTCTCTATGCGTCTAGAACCGTTCTACTTCGTAGCCAATAAATACAAAATTTGTGCAAGTTGGTCAATTGCAGATTATATGTGCACCGCACAATCGTGCTCTATGCGTCTAGAACCGTTCAATTTCGTAGCTAATAAATAAAAATTTTACGCAAGTTGGTAAATGGCACATTATATGTGCATTGCACAATCGTGCTCTAGTCTAGAACCGTTCCGTTTCGTAGCCAATAAATTGCACATTATACATCGCATTCGACAAACTTTTTTTCAAGCGTTTCGATTTGCCCGCACAAAGTTATAGAATGTTTCTAGACGCAAAGGGCACGTTGCAGGTCAGGCTTTAGGCGACGTCGATCTGCACGGACGTCGAGCTAGATCGACGGGCAATTAATCGAGCCGAATCGACCAAATTTCTTCGTTGCAGATTATTAAATTCGAGACGCGCGGACATGCGGTCCCTCCGACTGCCACATCGATGCAATTCGCGCAGCGTTCGGAATTCTCGCAGCGGCATCCGCGTAGAACAGAGAAGGAGAGAGAGGGGAAGGCAGAGAGAGAGATCGGTTGTTTGAAATTAACCATTGCGTCAATTACTGTTACGCGCGGGGAGAACGATATGCAAACAAGTGGGCGCTTGTTATGCAGTCGTCGTCTTAAATTATGACGCGTGTTACGAACACACGATTACGGCGACGACGACGGTGACGGTGGCGGCGGCGGCGGCGGCGACGACGGAATGGGTATCGCATTACGAGAACGAGATATAACAAGGACGGCAAGCAGAAATTGAGTTGCGGCTTGTTACGAATTTATTGTATCGCTCCTAATCTCGTCCGCCGGCAACTTCTTGCCTGAAATGTACTTTCTTAGTTACGCGGCTGTCTCGCTGCTAATTCATTAACCCCACCACCCCCCCACCCCCGGGTCGCGGCGTAACGCGAGCTACGGTGACTGCGGTCAAAATTCAATGACGTATTTTCGAAGGCGAAACTCGCGGAGCGGCAAAACGTTACGGGGGCTGCACGTCGCGAGAGTCGGCGCAGCGACATTTTTCATCCCGTAACGCGGACCGGAGCGCGGCTGTTTCAGCCAAAATAAATGTTCATTTAAGTAATTGAATGACGCTACATATTTCTCGCGCTCTCGCTACGCGGGATGAGATGTCATTTCGTCGATGCGTAAACTCCGTATATCGCGTGGATTCGAAATGGCGAAGGTGATACGCGTCCGCGCAGACGTTCAGCTCCCCGAGCAAACTGCGAAGAGTCCGCGTCTAATAAAGGGCACGTTAAATTTCCTTCTTAAATATAAGAGGGAGGGGGTTGTCCTTCAGCTGGCGGTCGTTACCTAACGCGATTTGGCGCGCGATATATACGCGAATATAACGCGCAATAAGATATCTCGATCGTCGTAAAAATGGCACGAGAGACAACTAATAAAGTGCGCATTGTGCCAGTCATAACGTATAATCCTGTAATGGGGTTGTTGCACACGTAGGTTATGCGAGGATCATAACGCTCGTAAATCCAATGAGTCGCCCTGTCCCGCCTCGCGCTCATCGATTCGCGGAAGATCCTCGTTTCGCTCTAATGACCTGGCATGCTCGCGCGACGAGAGGTTTGTCGCGCGAGGGGTGACGCGGCCTGAATTACAATGCGACAAAAAGCCCCGTAAAAGAATCTATCAGACGCGGCACTCGCGCGATTTTAATCCACGGAACTATAAACGGCGGCCTCACGCTTAGTGGCGAAATTAATTTGACCCGCGCTCTTAACTTTATTAAAAATGCGTCGGCAAACGCATCACTGCTCCACGACTCGATTACCGGCGCCAAGTCAAGGCAATCAGATGTAATGCGTTTTATTATAATTGATCTTACGTTACGCTGTCCACACGTTACATTACTTGTAATAAATAACAATGACTCGTATGATAAAATCAATGAACAATAGAAGGGACTCAGTGCCCGAACAAGGTTGTAATGTCCGGTAAAATTAAAAACATTAAGGTTTAAAGTCTAATTCGTATCGCGTTATGCATTTGAAAATTTGAAATACATAAATTATTTTGTACATAAAAACCAAATAATTATTTTGGTTTGTATCTGAAACATGTCTATATCGGCATGATTCGAGAAATTAATAAATCTAGTTCACCAGAATTGCAGTGGGCAGTGCTGCAATTCTTAGATAAAGAACGAAAATCGCGAATCAGAGAGAGAGAGAGAGAGAGAGAGAGAGAGAATTCTCAATGTGTAATCTTATTGTTAGCCTGAATATGTAATGGTATGACATATTGAGGTAACGTTCGTCGAGGTAAGATTTACAAACCCAAAAACTGTATGCGCCTCTGTCAGTAAATCAAACTACTCTAGCATCCCCTTAGGAAGCATTCAATTCTCTCAGTATATGCACTGTGCAAACAAAGTAAAATAAAAACCGCTTATTACATTTACGCAAGTAGATCGCGATCACATTTTATTCTGCCGCAAGTTTGACACCGCTCGATCAACGTCCGCAGTGAAACGTTTAATTAACACATCGCGATTTTGAAAAAAAAGTCCGCTGCGTTTCCAACGAGGCGAATTCTGTCAAAA